ATGACCCTTTTTCTTGAATTTGATGTTTGTTCATGTATTTGAGACGAAGTCCTGCTACGTAGTTCCAGATGTCCTTGAAATCACTTTGTAGCCCAGGATAGCCTCAAATTTGCAGCGATCCTCCTGCCTCAGCCTTCTGAGTTCTAGGATTACAGATTCGCACCATCATGCCTGATTTATTTCTTAAATTTGTGAAACGAGATTGTTAAAATCAGTTTAAGCCAGGTATAGTGGCACACACCTGTAATCCTAGCACTCAGCAGGCTGAGGCAGGAGGATCACTGCAAATTTGCGGCTATTCTGGGCTACAAAGTGAATTCATGGCCAGCCTGAACCAAATAGTGAAACCCTATCTCAAAAAGACAAAAAAAGAAAGAAAGAAAAAGAAGATCAAGGGAAGGAGACCTCAATGGGGGTGCATGGTCCCACAACCCAACCCCTTTCCACACAGGAATATGTTTCTGAACCCTGATGTGAGGTTCATACAACTCACCAGACTTCAGTGAGGCAGCTTCTCATAAAGGAAACCTGGGCGAAGGACGCAGCTCTTCAGCACAACACTTGCCCAGTATAGAAGACCCAGCTTGGCCGGTTCCCAACACTACACATACAGAAGACCTGCCCAAGGCTACAGAACTCCTAGTCCCCTTGGCCAGCAGAGGAAGTAGTTGAGGAGGCAGGCTGGGGGTATTTTCACTGAAGGCCTGTGTGTGAGGATCCCAGGGCTACTAAAGGCCTGGAATTGGGGTGGTGTGAATGGGAGGCCATCTCTTTCTCTAACTAGCCTTTCTCTGGAGAAGGAGGCCTCTGTCTTATATTCCCCACTGCAAACTGCCCTAGATAGACAGACCTCCTGCAGAAAAGCTGCTCCCAGCCTCCTCCTTACAAGACCTTCCGCCTGTCTGCTAAACTACAACAGGTTGCAACTCAGAAGCAAATGCCCACAGCAAAGTGGGAGCAGGTACAAAAATAAACGGCAAGCTTGCTCTAAAGTAGTTCAGACGTGAATAGAGTTTACAAATACAGAAACACATGGGGAGATGTTTGTGTCAATCCCCACACCAACAGCTTTGGTCTAGCCAAAATTCTTGGTAGCTGAGTGGGTGTATGTGTGGGGAGCAAGGGAGACAAAAATTAGAGGGGGCTAATGTCATATTTTTCTGTTTTCTGTTTCAGCTCAGAGAGAGATGTGCTATAGCTCTAAAAAGAAGTAGTTAAATTATAATCACAACTATATAAAAACATGTACAGGGAGAATGGCTTCAAAGCAATATGCAAAAATGAAAATAAATGTGCTAGTCAAGGTAAGATTTTGGATGCTTTCTTCCCAAATCCCTAGTCCTGTTCAACATTTTCAACTAAATGTTTCATCTTTTCATTTTTTTATTTCCTAGTGGTCTAGTTAATCTGAATTCCCACCCACCCCCACGGTCTTACTACATAGTAAAGGCTGGCCTCAAACTTATGGAAATCCTCCTGCCTCAGCCTCTTCAGTGCTGGGATTACAGGTGAATGCCAGCATGCCTGGCTAGCTTACCTGAGTTTATCAAGTTATAATTTCTCCAACTTCTTGTTTGTTGTCCATCACAGCAGTTTTTTAGGATAGCAAACACTGAAAAATAAGCCTTTTAGAGGATGGGTTAGACAGACTGCATTCCAATCATAATAGTGAGACACAAGGGTCAGGGAGATAGCTCATTGGAATAAGTGCTTGCATGGCAAGGGCAAGGTCCTGAGTTCAATCCCTGGTACCACAACAAAAAATAGTGAGACACAATATAGCTATTTAAAAAGACAGAAAGCTGGACGTATGCATGTAGAACAATCACAAGAGAAAGTAAGTGAACAAGAGCAATTAGTCTAGTCTCATATGTCTATACATGCAAATATGGAGCTGTGCAATGGAACTTTCTGGAAGGATGCCCGAGCTCATTCTATCTACTAAAGAAAATTGAAAGTCTGAGATGAGTGGTGTATTCATTTTTCATAGGACTTGAACTCCTAAGGTGTTTGAAAAAAAATGTACACATAAAATTTTAAATATGGTACTGGTGTCACTTTCATAACTGTTAACTTTCTAGGCACTGTTCTAAAGGTCTTCTTCCTAAGTGATTTGAAGATGGAGGAACTCAAGTCTTCTTGCCATACATAGAAAACAGACAATCTGATTATGCCTCGAGTTGTCAAAATGTGGAGGCAATGTGCGAAAAAACTAAATATGCTCATCTTTCAGATAGCGATCTACTGCGATGTATATACTTAGGTGCAGCTGGAGAACTGGGTCAGCCTCCCCCACGCCCTCCCAAATAAAGCAGCAAGGAAATGAGCTGCTTACTCTGCTCTCTGCGGAGGACCCAGGGGTGCTTTGAACTTAAAAAAATGTGCAACACTCCTGGCTTGCAGAGCCATCTGAGAGCCCTGGAAGTCACATTACCTCCCAAACACTCAGTACAGGGCGTTTGTTGTGAGATGCATTTGTCATGTTGCCCAGACTGGTTTCAAACTCTTGGGCTCGAGCAAATCTCCTGCCTCAACCTCCCGGGGGCCTTGGCTTTTGCACAGTGTTTAATCCAGACCATTTGCTGGTCTCTCTAGGCCCAGTTGGTATTCTAGAGCTTCTTGGAATCCAAATAGTGTGCCTCAAGCAAAGGAGATCACTTAAACACTTTTTCAACCTGTCTGTGGAACCTTTTCCTGGGTCCCTCTGCCAGGTGACACCATGTGGCTTGAACTTTAACATTTTGGCTTTTTTTTTTTTTTTACTGGACACATTACCTTAGTTTTCCAGATTTCACTTTGACGAATATATTTCAGGTTCTAATGAGAGGATGTTCAACTATAAATTCGTGGGAAAGAGTGGCAAAAATCTTTCTGCCATCCCCTCAGGCATCTCAGCCTGAAGGTTGTGCAGAGTTACCCAGACCAAAGGGAGAACCAAGGTGGCTGTCAAGGGGCAGCCTCTCAGATGGGCCTTGCAGGGGCATGTGCAGACATACATTCAGCACAGGCAAATGGCAGGAGGGACTTGTCATGGGCACTTCGTGAAGACGACAGACGGAAGACAGACAAAGAGTTGGTTGGAGAACAGCTTGTGATGGCCTGATCTAGCTATCCCATATTTTCCCCCAAATACGCTGTCTCAAGGAACCTAAAAGAGAAATATTTTCCTGGTTAAACAGCATTTGTAGCTGAACATGAGTTTGCACCTATAATCCCAGCACTCAGGAGGCTGAGGCAGGAAAATCACAGTGAGTTCAAGGCCAGCCTGGGCTACATAGAAAGACCCTGTCTTAAAAACCAAATAACAAGAACATAACAACAACCCAACTCAGTGGTACAGCATTTGACTAACATGTATAAGGCTGTAAGGCTCTGGGTTCAATCCCAACTACCACCGGGGGCAGGGAGATTACTTGTGTTTGACAAGTAATAATCTCCTAACCTCTGATACAGATGAATACCTGACATGATGTTCCGATCACTGACACGCACACCAAGCACGCTGACTCAGGTCTACTCTGGTTTACCTCATTCGCAGGGGCTTTGCATGTGCACACACACCCCTTTTTGCATTGTTCTCCCTGTTCTCGGTGGGATCTGTCCTCTACTTGAGCCTTCACTGGCAGCAACGGGCAAGAAAGGAAGCCTGTTTGTAACATTATGCTGCTTTTATTTTTGCATTCAGTGGCCAACTCTTGGTGGGAGTGCAGACTGGTGAAAACTACTGTGGAAACTGGTATGAGGACTCCTCAAAAAACTAGGGCTAGAGGTTACATTCGACCCAGCTATTCTTCTCCCGGGTATCATCCCGAAAGAATTAAAAGCATCATGCCACAGGGATATATGTATACCCATATTTATAGTGCCAGCTTGTAATAGCTAAATCTTGGACACAGCCCAAATGCCCACCAACTGATGAATGGATAAAGAAGGTGTGATTCTTTTATACCAGGGAGTACTGCTCTGCCATAAAGAAGGATGAGCTTGAGACATGTCTAGGTAAATGGATGCACATAAATCAGACACACATGTAAATATCACGTTGCTTCTCTGGTGTGAGAAGCTGAAAGTATAAATAAGGACCAAAGTATAATACATATTGTGAATAGGAGGAGAGTGTTCAAACAAGAAGGAGAAATAGGCAAGGGGAGGGGAGGAAGGGAGGAAAGAAAAAAAAAGGAGGAAAAAGTGGAAACAAAGTTTTTATAAATGAAGAGGGAAAAAAGGGTTGAAGGGTAAAGGACTGGGAAAGAAGCAACAAGCTGTATCATGTACAGGTACAATTTCCCTAGGAGTGTGATCATTATGTATATCTAAAATTACCAATAAAATAAAAAAATAAAATAAAATAAAAATGAAATCACTGGCCTGAATGATACCTGTGATTTTTCTTAGCTCTGCTTTGCCCTGTGACCACATGTACATCCAAACTGGCTGCACTTCTGGGAACATTTTTTCTGTCTTTATCAAGTGACCTCAGACCCCTCAGCCCATGGGCCTCTTTCCTGAAGTCTGGAGGGATCTCGGTGTGAACTGAACTTAGGAGAATGCCCATTCATTTGCCTACTATATCATTTTGCCCCCAAAATGGATGCCTTGAGCTTTAGGATCCTCCTCTTAGGGGTTGTATTATTATTTTCTACTGTTTTGGTATTTCATTGGTCTCTGCTCCAGATTTTCCACAAGGACTATCAAAGTCTGAAGCCCCAAACTGAATACAGAAAGTAGTACAGCTCCTACAGGGCCAGGTGCAAGACCCCCTGCTTCTTTTCTGCAGGGCCCTCATTCCCCTGGGGATGGATCCAGCTTCTGGTGCTGGCATAGGCATGACCTGCCAGCCTGCATGGCGGCTGCTGACTCATGCTTACTCTGGGATCCAGGGACCCGGCTCACCTGCTCCTCTGGCACAGCAGTCCCACCCACCTCCCCAAGCAACCCCAGCACTTGCCACCCTCCAGGGTATCCCCAAGTCTGTGCCACTGCCCTGGTCCCAAACCCACCTGGAAGACGTCATTAGCACACTTGCGACACAGGTTATGCTGGCAGGGCAGGATCACCACCGGCTTGGAGAACATTTCCAAGCAGATGGGGCAGATAAGCTGCTTCTCCAGGTTGTCCATGCTGTGCGCATCCCCTAGCAGCGGCTTGAAACCCACCGTGAAGTTCATCCCTCAGTGCTGGTGCCTGACCTGGCTGTGGCCCTTGCTCTGGCCTTGTCTTGCTGTCTCTGGGTCCTTCCTCGTCCCTTAGACTGTGTGGATTCTTAGGTTCCCTTCTGTTGCTCCCTCCTAAATGGTGCTGTTTTAGTTCCTGTCCCTTCCTCTAACAACTGCCTATCCCTGCTTATCTCCGCAGCTCTGTCTCTGTTCCTTCCTTGGTACTCTCACCAGGTACATGCAGCTCTATCCCTCCCACCTACAAAATTCTCTTTTTGTCCTCCAAACTCACTCTGTGGGCAGCACTGTTTGTCCCTTACTCCTCAGAGAGGAGATTAATATTACTGTGGGGGTGGGGAGACAAGGGGCCTCTGTGTGACATTCCAACTCCCAATTTAGCTCATGTAAGGCGAGCCACAGCTGTCACAGAGGGAATGACCCTGACTCACTCACTCCGAGCAGGAGCAGAGGTGACAGTCACACTTGTGGTGAAAGGTGGGCCAACAGGGGTATGCATCTCTCCCTTGCTATCACCCCGAAGGCTCCTATGAGCCCCAGCCCCTGTGCCTTGGCTTGGGACCATCTTCAGCTGGTAGGGAAGGCACTAGGCATTGCTCTGGTGAGAGGAAAGATCTGGCTAGACCAAAAGAGCAATGCTCCACCCTCCACAGGCATAGCCAGTGACCCTGGCCTCTCCTGCAAGTCCATGTGATTCAGAAGAAAGGCAGCACAGACTGGACAGATAGCCTCTTTCCCAGACTCCTAGCCTGTTTGCTCTCTCCCAGCCCTTTCCTCTATCATCTGAGGAAAGGTGACTGTTGCACCAGGCCTGGAAATGATGCCCCTAGAAAGTGTGCAATTCTAGTTCACAAACAAACACACCACTGAAGCCACTCAGAGGACTTTCAATTTGTTTGGAAATTGGGAGAAGCAGAACTGAGCAGAAAGGATCTGAATGCCAGGAGTCTATTTTGGGCACCAGGAAATCAGTCTCCAGGGATCTTAGAGCTGGACAGAGTCAGTCATCCGGCTCCAGACCCAACTCCACAGTTGTCCTGGACTCTCCTTTCCATGCCAGGCTGGTCCCAGATGTGAGCACTGGACTTCAGTTTGTTCTCCAGTTGGCCTGTTCCTGTCTTCCAAAGAAGACACAATTTGTCTTCTTTGGGCCTTGTCCACACAGTGAAATAAGACAAAATCGTTTATTTACTGACATTCCTTGGCCTTTCTCCTAATGAGGGGAGAGAAGTTTGAGGCATCCCAGGAATTCCACACAGATGAAAAATAAATGGTGTGGGGAGGATGCTGAGCAGCTCGCATGAAGATGAAAGAGTTGGGGAAGGGTCTGCAAAGTACAGTCTTTCTTCTACCACATCTCATGCCTGTTTAAGAATCAACTTTAGGTGGTTAGCCTGGGTAAGATGTGGTAAGGATGGAGACAAGCAGGCACTGATTCACTGGGTTCTGGGCAGGAACTAAAGTCCAGGGAGGATCCAGGGTGAGGTGGCTATCTGCAAGACTCAAATACAGTCATTTCCCAAGTTGGCTTGTGGTCGGCCGAAGTGAGGCTGCAACGCCCATGGTGTGGGCACCGGAAGATGACAGCAGCCTCAGAAAGCTATACTGGTTTAGCAATGCGATGGATGCTAGGAGTTCTTGGTACCCGGTGTTGTAACAAAGGAGGATTTACTGATATAGAAGCTCCAAGAACAGGATCTGCCCTGCTCAATGGCCAGGATCTTGGTGGAGGTTTTGTAGGCTCAGCCACCTAACTGACACTGGCTCAGTTGCGAAGGCAGGCACCAGGAAAGGAGTCCTTGGTAAAAGTTTGTTGATGGCAGTCAGTGCCTGAGTCCTCATGCAGGTAGGGATGGCAGTACTGCTGACAGATTAAAGTGGGACTGGAGCTAGAAAGAGTAGCTGGAGCCCCTGCATGGCCAGGATCAGAGCCAGAGATGGTATCCGTACTGGATGGTCATCATCAATGCTTCCAAAGTAGGAATTCTCACAGGAGGAGGAATCAAGTTAGAATCAAAGTCAGAAGAGGGCTACCTGCGCTTCTCTCCAGTGTATCCAGTGCACTGGGCAGCAACGGACACCTTCACTCGGCCAGCACCTGGAGGCAGAAGTTAGCACTGTATTAACCAGAAGAAATAATCTCCTAGAATTTAGGGCAAATCCCCTCTCTATAAAGATATAAACCTCTGGAGTGTATTCTATGAGGACATAAATTTTCCACTAATAACCCACCTGAAATTATCTTATATGGTTCTTAGGCTTTTCTTATTTATTTATTTTTAATGGTATTAAGGATTGAACCTAAGGTATTCCCATTGGGCCACATCCCCAGCTCCCCGCTTTTTTATTTTGAGATAAGTTCTCACTAAGCTGTTAACTTGTCCAAGCTGGGTTCGAACTTGCAGTCCTCTTGCCTCAGAGCACTGGAATTAAAGGACTGTGCCACCAAGCCTGGCTTTATCCTTCACTTATCACTTCCTTTCAGTTTACATACCTCACCCTTCTTACTGTATTAATAATCTTCACTATCTTCATCTTTTTCAAAACGATGTTTTGTCCCTAAGATGGAATTATACATGTTTACACATATAAGCACTTAATGACAAATTTTTAGTCTACAGATGAGGAAACCCTTACCTTACAGCTGCTCAGTGAACGCTTTAAGGTGGCACTGATGTGAATGGGAATAATCTCCAATCTTATCCTTTTCCTCCTCATCCTTTTTTTCCCACCTCTTTCTTCTTTTTCTGCAAACTCAGGCCCTTGTGCATACTAGGTAAGTTCTCTATCATTGAGCTATACCCCCTGTTTATCTTCCTTTGGAGTAGAAATAAGTTGCATGCTTGAACCTGTTTTCAACTGCTGCTGTTTCTAGGTAAGGTATCCTACCTCATTCCTTAGCCACCAATGTTACATTCAAATTGCCAGTTCATGACATAAAGCACTCAGAAATGTTACTCATCTCTTTTTTCTTCCTTTTGCCCCAGTGCCAGACTTGAGACTGCCAGAATTAGGGATTAACTTGCCATTTTCATGGGTCTTTCTTATTCCCACCCTTTTCTCTCACTGCTAATCCAGATCTGACTTCAGTGTCTCCCCTGATCTTCACCTGAACTTGGAGGTTGTGTCTGGACGTTCTGTTGACCTTTCTGCCTATTCATCTCCTCAGGTGGTGGTTTGAGTGCTCCACAGCAGAAACAGCAGCAGCAGCAACAACAACAACAAGTGAGGAGTGCACACAGGAGGACGAGTGTCTAAAAGGTAGCAGAGAAGACTCAGTCCAGCTGTTTTTCTATATTTCCACCCATCTTCCCTCCCTCCTTCCCTCCTCACACACAGAAAATCTCTTCTAGGAGAGGAGTGTCACACTCCTTACTTATACTTAAGGGACTAGGAAGAGCTGTGTACCTTGAACCAGCAACTATTGACTATAAAATAATATCTAACTCCATCTTCGCCAAAGTGATCATAGAGGTATATTCCAAATGAGCCATGTTTGTCATAGATTGCCCGTTTCTTAGGGTCACTCAGTATAGCATGGGCCGTGTTGATTTCTTTGAAGATTTCTGCAGCTTGAGCGTCCCCTGGATTCTTGTCTGGATGATACTGCAAGGCCAGTTTCCTACCCAAAAGGAGGACAGGAGGGATGAGAAAATGGCTAGTGATGGATGGCGAGGATGAAAAGAGGGACAGGTGTCTAGACGGTGTTGAGAAATGCATAGGTTGTGGTACAAAGGATAGAGGAAGCAAATAAGATCTAAATATCTTCCCATGCCACCCTACAGATGGCCTCTTTCAGTCCCAAATAAAGGCTTCTTGAGATCTAAACAAGGGCCTGAAAGCAAAATAGAAAGAAAAGGAGGAAATTCTAGAGTTCAGTCAAGGACTAGGGTCTGAACCTGTAGGACTTCTTGATGTCTTCAGGTGAGGCACCCTTCTTAAGTTCTAGCACTGCATAGAGGGTGGTCCCACTTTTGGACAGCCGGCGGGCTGCTTCATCCACATGAGACATGTTCTGAGTCAAAAGGACAAGTAAAACATATTAGTGAGGGGGTACAAGGACTGGCAGGATAGTACAGGTGACTAGAAGAGCATTCAAATTAAAATTATGAAGAGGAAACATCTTGCCCTCCCATTTCCCAGCATCCTCCATCTGCCCAGGCTCCCAGGTACTCCAAGCCTAGAGTGGCCTAAGTATGAGAAGGTGAAGCCATGGAAAAGTCTGATTTCACCCAGGGTGCTTATGTAAGTAAACAGCCTTTTGCCTATCCCTGCTCAGGATTGGGTTGAAAAGTTCGGCATCCCCAGTCCCTGAACAGGTTGAGTAAGGAATAGGGGATGAACCACAATGGCCAGGAGAGAAACAACTTAGACTGTACTATGCACTGCATAAAGAAGTCAGGTGTCCAGAAGCCAGGCAGAGGCAAAGAACAGGCTTGTGGCCAGGTCAGAGACTTGCGTTTTCTTCCCCCACACTCCGCCTCCGACCTCTAGCCCTCTGAGATGGGGCAGCTGGGACAGCAGAGGCTGACTCAGGCACTGAAGCGGGGAGGGAATGCTGCGGGGAGGGGTTTGAAGGCAGCCCAGGGATCCAAGTGCACCAGGCAGACGCCTGGCAGGCAGGTGGCCTGAAAAACCAGGGCAACAAGCTCAAAAGGGGCGCTCATCATAGGCTGGGGCCTCATTCCCGACCATCCTGGGTTATAGAGTGTGCTCAAGGCCACACTGAACTGCATGGTGAGTCCCTTTCTCAAAAAGACATAAATAAAATAAAATAAAATAGGCTGAGGCCTCAGCCCCATACCTACAATTCAACTAGAGCCTCTTTACCATCGAGTCACTCTCTTAAACCAAATACGCCTCACAAACCTTTCATCCTCCAGGGTGTGAAACTTCACACTGCCAGTTCAGCGGGCCGACTGCGCTTGCGCGCACCTGCGCAGTAACCACGTTGGGTCCTTTTCTGGCGCGGGCGGGTGGGGCAGCCACTTTTGGCACTGGGACTTATTTGGCTCCCACGGAAGCCTGAGCTGCGCAGGCCCGAGGCCGAGCGTTGCTCCGGCAGCGGGCATCTCTGTTCTCCAGTCAGAGGGCAGCAGCCTTCCCGATCGCACACGTGGCTTTCCAGCCCAATTGCGGAACATCAGGCCTGCCCGCGTGACGATTGTGAGGTATGGCTCGGCGAGCTTTCTCAAGAGGCATGTTACTTTCCTCGTCTTCCTCAGAGCTTAGGGCTCACTTCATCCTTCTTTGAGACTCAGATGTCAGTGTTCTCTGAGGAGATGGTGACTCCTTCTTTTTCCTTCCCTGCCACCAGCTCGT